CTTTCACATGCAAGCTGAGATACACTTTATGTGTACATATCTTAGGATGATGAAACCCGAAAACTTGATGTTCTGACAGAACAGACTAGGCCCTTAGCACTGGTGGGCAGCTGTTATAAGAAGGAAGCTTCAATAGGCAGCAGGCAGACAGAGCAGAGTCGCAAGGAATGATTCATACATTCATAGGTTCCTAACTAAAAGCCCAATCAACCCATAATGCACTGATTTTATGTCTCTCTTTACTCTCTGGCCTGTGATGCTAAATCCACTGGGACTCAAAGAGCTAACATAATAACTGCTTATCTTCAATGTTAATAAGTGCTAACTCTTCCACATTAGACAATTTCTCTATCACACTTGCTTTGAACTTTTCAAAACAGCAATTAATTAGAATCGGTATTCCTGTCTCCGACAGAAAATGTTACTGAAGCATGTTTATGCCTTTTAGCAGAGATTCAAAACTGTATGTGTTAATCCTAAATGCAGAGTTTTTTTTTTTTTTTTTTTAAAACAATAGTGCTTAAAAACTGCATTCCCAAAATATGTTGCAATATGTACAGTGCATGTGTGTCCATTTGCAGCTATTTTAAATTTATATTGCCAAAGTAAATAGTTCAACAATCAAAGTCTAATTTTGTTGAATATATGCTTTATGATATATTCTTCTTCTCTGAGTCTATTTACCTCACTAAAGTGTTAAGGTGATGTAGGCATCTTCTGTCTACTCTTTCTAATAGCAGGGATTTGGTTAGTGTTATACAGCATAAGCTGATCTTTGTTTCTTTAAGGCTGTTTATGATGCTATCATTCCATGTTTTATATGGTCTTCCCCTTGATCAGTGTTTGTTATATTTCTTCAGGCTTTCCATGCTCACTGGTACAAAGGCATTCTTATCAAACACCAAACCATTTCATCTGTTGGTGGTTTGCATTTTTTAAAAAGCAACATTTCTAGTGGACAAGTCAGTTATTGTTAAATGAAAAACTTAAAATATTTCAAACTGTCATACCCTTTCCTGTTTTTACTTTTGTTTCCTTTGAGAGTTAATAAAATACAATTATATTTGTATATTGTCAAATATATGTAGTAGCTATTTACTGCATTCAATCCTTATTTCTACATCATGAACAAATTGGGGACGGAACAGAGTGACCATACACTATAGCAAAGGATAGGTCTTTTTGAAAGCTGGTTGGTGGTCTATGCTCCATGAGAGCATAAAGGGAAGAAGGAAAATACAAGATATAATGTTTGGGCATTCAGATGCAAATCCTATAATGTCTATGTGGCAATGTGCAAATAATTACTGTAATTGTTCAGAACAAATTAGGCAATCAGAAATAATGGTATTGTACTTTTTAAAGAATGGCTTTTAAACATGTCAATTCAAGTTTAAAAAAAATAATATTCTGATTACAGTTAAACATACATAAAAAAATGTATGTTTAACTGTAATCAGAATATAATTTTTGTTTTTGTTTTTATATTCTGTAAAAATAAAGTGAAACATAATGTGAGGCATTTACAAATTACTTTTCGTTAATTAGTTTAACAAATAGGAGTATGATATAAAGACTATAAATAATGAAACAAATTATAGGGAATGCAAGCATTAAACACACCCCAGTGAAACAGGTCATAGAAGGAACAGGTTAATACACATTTTCATAATATGAACATAAGAACAAAAACAATAAAGCCAAAGACACATACACACAGATGTACATACATAGATATGGGAACACATATATGAAACAACAAATCTGTGCTCTGTGAATTTTAACAAATCTTGGCCACTGCTATAAATCTATAAATGAGAAATTATTGTTTTACTCTTCAGCCTCAGAAAGCCTCACAGAGAATGATCTAGCCAGGAAACAACTACTATGAAACAGCTAAATACAGTAGAAGACAAATAGGGAAGGCAGATTTCTTTAACATTCTGTGATCAAAAGTAAAAAGATCAGAGAATATATTACATGAAGTTTGAGAAACCAAGAACAAAATTCAATAAAGTATCACACATTGCTTTGAGAAAGTTATCTTAATAAATAACTAAATCATGGACAACAGAGCAGACATCTGTGATCAAGTTTTGTGCAAATAACTGCTTGTTTGTAGCCTTAATGATTTTGTTAGTATTTAATAAAAAAAAAATTGTTGAATATTTAGTCTTGCAGGTTATTGAATCTGCAAATATTCTCGGCTGCATGCCTTTTCTCTATTTTATAGTCTGTTTTCAAGCACCTGCATAACTCAGATTAGCAGTCCACATCCCAATGCCTATTTATTTATAATTTAGACTTGTTATTTAATTTTTTCAACATTAATTTTCTGTAATAAGCTAATTAGGTTAACTGTTAAATTCTAACACATGTGTTAATATTAATGCATAATTATTACAATTATTGCCAGTTTTGCTCTATGCTAAAACAAAAATATTTCTGGGAAGTTAATTACTATGAAATATCATTCTGCAGCATTTGCGCAGTGCAACGCTTCAGAGATGCTTTAGTGAATTTAATTATACTAAACAGGAAAGTTACATTTTCTAGAGTTTTCTCATGAAACATGTTTCCCAGTCTACTGAAGATATTCCATAGCAATTTCTTCCATACTAAGCAACAAGTATAGTTAAATGTTTATGAAACTAAAATAAATGTACCCTTATATTAAGAGCTGGTTATCTGATTAACCAAATCATGCTTTCGTTTATTAACTCTTTCAGGCCCGTGTTGACTGAGAAGTTCCAGTTTGTCAAGACCACACAGTCTGCATCGATTGTGTGTCCAGCACATATTGATTTGCCTGCTGTTCTGTATTAATTTTTAATCCCTAAAACCACGATTAAAATATTAAGGGAAGGTCACTCTAATGTTTTTTCTTTGTTTACAAGTCTTTCTTTTTTGTTGCACATTTAGGTGCAATTTCATTGCTAGCGTAATTTTTATACAGTGAATTTTCAAATTTCATCTTTGACTGGCCATGGATACCAATGTTCTGAATACAAGAACAGGCTGCAAAATGTGACTTTCGGCAACTGAAGCTGTGAAATTGTTTCAGTCACATGTTTTTAATTATGATTATTTTAACGAAAACTTTTATTTTTGGGAAAGTAATTAAAATGGTGAATTTACACTAACGACAGCTGAGTGGTTAGTTTAGAGAATTTAGCAGTTCTGATGATGTAAACCAAGGAGAGCCCATTTCATTTGCAATGGATGTGATAGTCACCCATATTTGCATCCAAAGGGCTGTTTTAAACAGTACCATACTATGGCTTAGCTGCATTAAAAACATTGCAGCTACAGCCTGTATATAACTTTTACAAACTAAATATGTTGTGTGTAAAGGTTCATTTTTTGCAAAATTATTTTTTTTTAAATTTTATTCATCACTCTGTAAGAACCTAGACCCTCTGAGTGATAAACTTACTTAGAAACTTACCACAACTTTTGAATTTGTTAGAAAATTATAAAAGCTTCAAAGTGTTATTCTCAAATTTGGTTGTTGACTGCTCTTGTGTCTAGAAAACTATGTAAGTAGAGAATTTTTGTTGTAAAATGTTATCTTTGTAAACAAAACACCTGCTGAATTCTTTTCTTTCTTCTGACTAACCACAACAGCATTAAACATATACATATCATCAGATTCAAAATTTACATTTAGTTTCTTTTTTAGAAAAATATGTCTAATTTTGTAGCAATAGAAATATCTTACATTTTCTATTGCATTTTTATTTTTATACCACCCCTCTACCATTTTTGTAACGGAAAATTATTTCAAGCCAAGTCAGTCAAACTTCATGGGCCTGAAAGAGTTAATTCCTATTATCGATGTCTCATGACAAAACTTGGCACGACTGTATTTTAGTTAAGTGAAGGGTGGACTAATCTGCTTTTATGGGGTTGTTTCTCATTCAGAGTCAACCACAAATATGTCTAAACACTTCAATAGATGTCATTTATGGACTTCTAAAAAGTGGGAGACATTATGACAGCAGTGTCTAGAATGACAGTTTTTCAACAGAAAATTTCCTTACTTAATGAAAGCTAGCACTGATATATGACCAAAAAAGATGTTCAAACTAAATGCTGAGGCATGACTGGAGAAACACAAGAATATATTAAAGACCAATATCAAATTTGAGAATGTTGTTGAAACTCAGTGATAATGATGGTCTAAATTTGCAATGCAACTTCCAACCCACTTGACAAGGACATGTTAGCTTGAAAACACTGTATCATGTGTGCCATGCACAGTGAAATTTCCAGTAGGTCTCACACAAAAGTAAGTCCTGCTTCTTAAGATATGATGTTGGGACAATTCTCATGCTCACAGGGATCTGCATGGCTGCTTAAATGGTTAAAACATCTGCCTCACACTCTGAAAGCTGGATTAATGACTCAGACAGCATCATAAAGGTCATGTGTTCTCATGGGTTCTTTTTGAAGGGATCTCAAGAGACTGCAGGATCTACCAATTTTTTAACCTTTGCACACCACTGTCAGTAGTTAATTACCCTTTCTTTGGAGAGACTAAGCCATACATGATAAAACCCTACATCAACTTAAAATGTGTTTTAAAAATGCTCACCATGAAATGTGAACACAGAATGTGCAGTTAAGACAGGAGTTAGCAGTACAAGCCAATGGCACATTCTAAAAGAAGCTGAACAATGTATCAATCTTTCTGACTGACTCTGAATAATGAATTTGGAAAAGTGAATAAACTATCTGGTACATATAAAAAGGGTAAAATTGGAGTGACATTGTAGCTACCACAAACATGCTCCACTAATCATTTGACACAGTCTAAATAATACAGATATAAATGAACAATATATGTATCCCTGGTCTTATGTGAAGAGTTTGTATTAATACCTTCCTTCTGTGCATGAACAAGTTCATATACTAAATTTGTATGCCTTTTTTTAGTGTTCAGTTTTCGTATCACTCAATAAATGTTTATATTAAACATATCACAGGTGATGCACTGTTTATTTCTTCTTGCCCTCTTTGGAAGAAGATTTAGAAGATTTTGGTGTCTGTTTACTGGATGTTGTCGAGGAAGATGATGATGTTGCAGATGATGAAGATGGCGCTTGCTTGCCACCAGCCTTTCTGAGACCACCTTCAAGGCCACCCAGAAGTTTCTGGAATTCTGTAGGAAACAAGTACAGATAATTATTTGTTGTAGCATTCCTATTACAGTTAATCCTACAATCACGCAATCAATAAACCAGTCAAGTGCTGTTTCCAAAATGTGCTGGGAAATGAGCAAGCAGATAGACAGGCCAATGATGAACCATTTAGTGATGAATTGATGTATGACAAGCTAGATGTTGCAAGGGTCTTTTGGAAGCTAGTGAACAATACAGACACTCAAAACTCAAGAGAAAGGCGAGAGGGATATACAGTCAGACAGTTACTGGTGCTGTCAGAATTGGAACTCTCCACATACTGCTGAAGATGGGGACATAGTGCTTATGGAAGTGTCCTGAGTGCTATGAGGTCGATTCTTAATTTAACATTCAACGTTCAATTCTAAAATACCTACAATGGTTCCTCAGTGCTGACACTCTTCCTGATTAGTACTACTGTCCTTGTCATGTGCTGATGAAGGCTTTATAGCCACAACTTTTATTTATTAAAACATTTAAACACTCTACTAAAACCATATAGCTGAATATATTAACTTAATTAAAATATCTTTGCTAGAAGTGGAAATTTTGCAACCAGCTGAAATCTCAAAATATCAGGAACAATTATTATAATTCCTCAACATTTGTCGTGTCTGATGCTCATTAAATAATCATAATAATTTTGTTCTTTTATCAATGTCAAATTGTATGACAAAAATTCCAAGAAATGCAAGTTATTCGAATGCAATTCTGAAGCATTATTAGTTTTTTAGCTACGATGACAAAATCATCAGTTTAATTGTTATCTTGATAATAAACTAACATTATTACAATTTACTCTTTGAGTCCCAAAGAACACATCATATGTTCATAGGTTCTTAATCAGAAGCCCAATTAACACATGATGCACCTATTTTATGTCCCTCTTTACTACCAGTTGGACCTCTGATGCTTAACCCAGTGGGACTTAAAAGACTTGAGAGAAGTATCTGGACAGCTGCTTGCATCAACAGTTAAGAAATGAAAAAGTGATATATAGTGAGCACATCCCAAGAAGAACAAACAGAGAAACAAATGGATTCAGGTGGTGAGGGCATCATAAAGAAACCATAAGACAAATGATGAGAGCGACCACAAGTGCTAGACTGAATTTGCATCCATGATGTTGAAACAATTGCCCAGGACAGAGCAGAATGGAAGAACAGAAGGTGAGTCCTGTGATACATATATTGGCACAAAAAGATGAGGATGATGATGAATGTACTTATGCCTAAGGATGTGTATATTTACGAGAGTGGTATGGGTGCACAAATGTTTTGGATGGATGCACAAGGAAGTATGTATAATGCGTGGTATAGGTTGACTTATTGATAGGAAAGTGGGGATACAGATGGGCGAAAGACATATATAAACAAATATATAGATGTATAAATACGAGTGTATGGGAATGTATGGGCAAGAACTACAAGAAGCATATAACTCATAACCACCCACCATCTGTGTGGATATGGAGACTTGGATGTACGGATGCTCACACCTGGTTGTTTGCAACCATACACTCTGGGGATCCATAAGTGATGTGTTTGCATAGGACTAAGGATAAACGGGTGCATATTTACGTGTGAAGATGAACAAACCTATAAATTAGTGAGAATAAATGCAATGAGGAGCGTACTCAAGCAAGAATCTCATCATCACTCACCATCCCATCACATTACTCACCATCCACATTACCCACTATCCACATCACCCACTATCCACATCACCCACCACACACATTACCCACCATACACATGACTCACCATCCACATCACCCACCATCCACATCATCCACCATCCGCATCACCCATCAGGTAGACAACTGACAGATCCCAAGTCAGGAGCTAGACATAACCAAACACCTGACACTAACAGACGATATCACAGACAATATTGACACACGAATGACACTAAAGGACATACAAGGTAATCATCACAGTAGTGGCACAGTCTTTGTGAGCAACACTTTGGTAAGTGTAAATGCCCTTACGGGTGGATGAACATGTTTATAGGAATGTAAGTGGGTGAATGATCACATCTGTAGGCAGGTATGAAGGAGAACGCAAGAGTGTGAAAGGTTAAAGAGGTATGTATCCATATGGTTACGCATGCATGGATATGTGTGAAAGGGAGTGCAAACATGTAATGTTGTGTGAGTGTATAGATGTATAGGTGATACACCTGATGGTGTACATCCATAAACCCTGGGAATTCATATGTATAATCACCTTATTCCACATAATGCATCCAACACAAACATGACTGTTGGGACTCAAAACAGAATAGGACTGACAGCAAAAAAGGGAAAACAAATGGATTGATACTGACAGGACCTAAGCATCTAACCACGAATTCAACCCCCCCACCCCCCCCCCCAATGGTATGATGGTAAAGACTGGCTATGTGATGCGTATAATTCCAGCTAACGGTAGTGGTACCCCACAAGCCACAACAATCCTCATCACCAAACATTTGGACCTCAAGCGTGAGCTGGGTTTTCCAGGAATCTGATATTTGCGTGTACCCGAGCCTATCTACCAACCCAAACCAACACAGTCGGACCATACTATGACAAATGATGGAAAGAATCATTCTGAGACTTGACCTAACATTTCCCACACAACTCCATGACATGATTAAAAGGTTCTTATTACAGGAAGACAACTATAAGACTACTATGGTCACACAGACAATATTTTCACATTTCGGATCTATCTAAACTCAAAAACTGTTTTCAGTACTTTGTGTCAATGTAAAATATTCAAAATTGGTAAAACTACAAGGGGTGGTTCAAAAGACGTTGTGAGAAGCTCGCTCTGCTATGAAATAATCCTGGCCAAATCAAAAGGAGCAGAAAACAAGAAGACAACAATAGAAATACAAGATCAGGAAGAAAACAGTCGATAACAGGAAAAGGAACGAGCGGTCTGACTTGTAGGGAAAATGGACTAAGCGAAGAGATGGCACATATACCAAAACTTTAGTCACAAAAGTGGTGAAAATAAATCAGACCACAAATAATAATATAGCCGGAGACTGTTTGCAGCTTCAGCTGGCTAGCAGCTGGCTAAACTTTTAATTTTTTTTTCTTAAAAGGAATCGGAGAGAGAGAGGAGAGACGAAGAGAGAAAGAGAGAGAGAGAGAGAGAGAGAGAGAGAGAGAGAGAGAGAGAGAGAGAGAGAGAGAGAGAGAGAGAGAGAGAGAGAGAGAGAGAGAGAATGTTGGATGTTTGGCACCATTAGATAAAAGAACATGCATATCAGAAATGATTGACAGCACATGAAACAGGCTGTAAAAAACACAGTGACGAACGTGGCATGATACGGACTAGAATAAGAAGAAGGATAATAGAAAAGTTAGGTTAGTTATAAAAAAAGAAAATAACAGCCTGCATACAAATCTGACCTTAGTGATAGATAAATGAAACTAACGTGGGAATGTGTGTACAATGTGGAGGAGCAGATAGATCACCACAGTCTGGTGAGATTGATGCAGTTGGGGGTGACGAGAGGTTCTGGCAGAAGCTCAAGGCTCAGAGGAAAGGCAAGACGGACGTTTAATCAGAAAGCTACTGGCACCATTAGTATTGGAACTCTTCGCTGGCTGCTGAAGATGGGGACGGAGCGCTTATGGGAATGCCCTGAGTGCTGTGATGTCGGTTCTTAAATCAAATCAAGTCAAATCAATTAAATGAAACAATGTTGAATATTTAAATCCACAGAGTAGTGTACTCAGTACAATAATTTCCCCATTGGGGTTGGTGGAAAAGGAGGGGGGGGGGGTGCGAACTGACACAATGTCCCCTGCACCAAGCATGTCATAAAAGGTGACTAAACAGAGGTGTAAATTTTGCTATTTTGTGCAATCGCCAGATTTTAACCCCCCCCCCCCCCCCCCCCCTTCCAAATGTGTTTCTTGTGTTATTACATACCTTCATAATCTATTAAACCATCACCATTCAAGTCAGCAAGTTGGAACATTTCTTTGACATCTTCCTCTTCTAGGTTCTCTCCCAGCCTCTTCATGATGTACTTGAGCTCATGTTGGTCTATGTATCCATTGCCATCCATGTCAAATACCTAGAGGTAGAGGGTGAAAAAAATATTACATTACATTTTCATTTCATGTTAAATGCCCTCAAAAAGAGTGTTAACGAAATATCACTTTGTAATTTCATGTCTAATACCTAATTAAAGAGTGTCAGTGAAATACTACACTTCGATATTATTACAAGTTTAGGAAGGTAAGGAAGATTGGCAGCCTAAGGTGTGCTTTTTCACTTTGCAATTGTTGAAATTTGTTATAGACACTACAGAAAAGGACCTTTTGAAGTTGAAAACAGAAACAGCGGCAATATCATTAAACAAAAAAAAAAAAAAAAAAAATATGCCAACTTATAGAATTACAACAAAATAAAGAATGCTTAACCAAATCAATAGGTTCTAATATTTCGCTGGTGAGAGTTTCAAGATTTAAGGCAGAATAGGCCAAGCAAGTGCCACACTCTTGAAGGTATAATTTAAATATTAGAAACATAATATTTATGGACAATATGAATAAAATAGACATAACACCAACAGATGTCGATAAACAGGAGGACTTCAAAGAGCTGCTCTTTGCCGACGATCAATGCATATTTCACAATGATAGTAAACAGCTGCAAGACCACATAAACCTACTACACGACAGTTGCCTCAAGCATCATATGAAGATCAATACTGAAAAGACAGAAGTCATGAGCATAAGTAGAGAGCAACAGACCATCGACATAAAGATTCTAGATCACAGCCTAAAACAAGTGCAAGAATTTAAATACTTGGGAAGTATCTTTACATCCAATGGTAAAATAGACAGAGAGATCGAAGCAAGAATCCAACAAGCCAACAATGTCGCATACCAGCTTGCCCCAATTTTAAAACACCCTGCTGTCCCAGCTGAGATAAAAAGACAAATTATAAATACAATCTTTATACCGACATTAGGTTATCAATGTCAGACTTGGACATTAACAAAAGAACACGAGAGAAGACTAACCACCTGTGTAATGAGATGTTTGAGAATGGCTGCGAATAAAACCAGAAGAGATCGAGTGAGAAACGATGTGATTACAAGAACTATTGGAACCATACCCATCGTTAAATTTATTGAGAAGCAAAGAATGAAATGGTTTGGTCACCTAATGAGAATGGAACCAACGATGCCAGCATCAAGAGCATACAACATGAAAATCGAAACACAAAGAGGCAGGGGAAGACCAAGAAGAAGATGAATTGAAGGAGTCACGGACAACTTGAGACTTCATAACATCACGGCATATGAAGCGACTGAGCGCGCCCTGGCTCGGTTGCCGATCATCTGATAGACTGCGACGCCTAGCGGCACAAGCAGATTTTGACAAAAGAAAGAAGAAGAAACAGAACAGTGACATGTAATGTCAATTTTGGATTTTGAAGGAGATGTAGCTTCGGAGACAAATATTGGACGAACTAACAAAAAAGCACCTGTAAAAAGGTAATGAAAGTAGAACATTATATGCAACTAAAAGAAATGGGCAAACAGTGTTGGTCATATCGTGAGTGGAGATGCACAGTGAAACATTGCAGTAAATGGAAAGATTAGCAATAGCAGGGGCAGAAAGAGAATATGATAAACAATTCTAGATGGTGTAAGATGGTGGCATACAGGAATAGGATAATTAGAAAGATCTTTAGTAGAAAGGTAGAGGCAGAATTTCAAAAATAATTCTAGATGGTCTCTAGGTGAGGCACCAAGGAATATCATCGCTGTAAAAAATATCTGTAGTTGGTGTAAGATGGTGATATGGGTCAAAATCATGGCAAGTGGAAAGATCATGAATAGAAAAGACAGACAGACCACTGAATTATGGACGTTGTTAGGTGGTCTATGGAGGAACATCATGGCAAGTAGAAAGATTGTTGGTAAAAAAGCCAAGACAAACCTCAAAACATAATTCTAGCTGGTCTGAGATAGTAGCATGGAGGAAAATCTTTAAAAAAAAAAAGATTACACCCATGTACTAATGACCCACATCTTCACAGGAACAAAAAGCCAGTAGCATTTGGCAAGGTGCATGAGAATGATGATCAAACGTACCTTGAAGGTTTCTTTAGTTTTGTCCTCTTCATCAGTGGAAGCCTCTGCTACAGGCTCAGCTCCCTTTGTGGACCATTTCTTCATGAGGGTGAGGAACTCATCATACTCCACAAATCCATTCTCTGTAAAGTATGCAGGAATGAATAAATAGTAAGCTAATCCTAAAAAAGGGGCTGATGGGACGTTGACCACATTTGACAAGGCATATGTTGACACACTGACAACAGATGGGTCTATAAATATATTGGTTCAGGCAAGAGGCACCAGAGCCTGAATGCTGAGGCAATTTGAGGACCCCCCACCCCTTTCTCAATATTCAAGGGCTTTGTAACAAGATTGCCATCAGACATGACACCACACAAGAGCAATGTTATACAGATACAACTGTAACAGATCCACAGGTCAACCACTCAGAAGATGGAACACAGAAATATCAGAGACACTGAAAAGTACTTTATACAGAGTGAACAGAAGGGTCCATTCCAGAGATCTCTTCCTGCCCTAATGTCCAAGTGCATACCAGAAGTAGCAGTGGCTCCCATTCCAAATAATTATTAGCATGGGTGATCAAATCTCTTCACAATTTGCGATCTTTAATAACATGCATCAGTTCATAAGAGGGGGGGGGGGGGCATGTTAGCACAACTGATAGGAGACTCGCTTTCAAATCCAGCTGCGACTTGCTGCATTCCACTGCCAGTGTTTGAAACCAGGTGGTTGCCGAAATTCATCCAACCTCTAGGTAATGGGTACCAGAATTAACACTAAGTAAATGGAGGAATGCCACAGTAGCTATGGAGTTGCGTGTGGACGGCGACACAGGCTGACAGTTTCTTGTTAGCTGTCCATACTAGTGGCAGAGCCCTTATGATTCATAACCTTTTTCAATGACGCTGGTTTACCTCTCCCGACTTTACCTTTTACTTTTTACCTTTTGCTGATGGTGCTAATGATGATGCTGATAGTGCTAATGATGATGCTGATAGTGCTAATGATGATGCTGATAGTGCTAATGATGATGCTGATAGTGCTAATGATGATGCTGATAGTGCTAATGATGATGCTGATGATGCTAATGATGATGCCGATGGTGCCAAAGATGATGCCGATGGTGCTAATGATGATGCAGATAGAGCTAATGATGATGCAGATGGTGCTAATTATGATGCTGATAGTGCTAATGATGATGCTGATAGTGCTAATGATGATGCTGATGGTGCTAATGATGGTGCTAATGATGGTGCTAATGATGATGCTAATGATGGTGCTAATGATGATGCTGATAGTGCTAATGATGATGCTGATAGTGCTAATGATGGTGCTAATGATGGTGCTAATGATGGTGCTAATGATGGTGCTAATGATGATGCTGATAGTGCTAATGATGATGCTGATGGTGCTAATGATGGTGCTAATGATGGTGCTAATGATGGTGCTAATGATGGTGCTAATGATGGTGCTAATGATGGTGCTAATGATGGTGCTAATGATGGTGCTAATGATGGTGCTAATGATGGTGCTAATGATGATGCTGATAGTGCTAATGATGATGCTGATGGTGCTAATGATGGTGCTAATGATGGTGCTAATGATGGTGCTAATGATGATGCTAATGATGGTGCTAATGATGGTGCTAATGATGGTGCTAATGATGGTGCTAATGATGGTGCTAATGATGGTGCTAATGATGGTGCTAATGATGATGCTGATGGTGCTAATGATGATGCTGATGGTGCTAATGATGATGCTGATGATGCTAATGATGACGCTGATGGTGCTAATGATGATGCTGATAGTGCTAATGATGATGCTGATGGTGCTAATGATGATGCTGATGGTGCTAATGATGATGCCGATGGTGCTAATGATGATGCTGATAGTGCTAATGATGATGCTGATAGTGCTAATGATGATGCTGATGGTGCTAAGATGGTGCTGATGGTGCTTATGATAATGCTGATGGTGCTAATAATGATGCTGTTGGTGCTAATAATGATGCTGATGGTGCTAATGATGGTGCAGACGATGCCAATGATGATGCCAATGGTGCTTATGATGATGCTGATGGTGCTAATGATGATGATGATAACAGCGATAAAGCCGATGATAAATCTGACGTCTCATAATCTCACCATTGATGTCTGCATGTTTAATCATGTCCTCCACTTCATCTTGAGAATAGTCGTGCCCGAGTGTATGCAGCACGCCTCCGAGTTCGTCGCAGGAGATTTTCCCGTCGTTGTTTTTGTCAAACAGATCAAAGGCTTGTTTCATTTCTGAAAGAAAACAAGGAAAGCGTTTCCATTAGATTTGTTTGAAATTTTAAGGTTTAAAAATAGAGACGATCGACTTCAGTGCAATGACTTTCATCCCGTATGACTTTCATATAAGGGCTGAGCTGCCTGCCAAGAAGAGGGTCATAGAAAGTACTTCCGTTGCTCAGCTACTAGGTCGAATGTATTGCCTGACACTGTGAATTGTGGATTTCATTTGAAATACTTTTCGACTGTGCCCAGCGTGGTTTGTTTCGTGAACTGCAGATTCAGAAAATGACGAGTAGGCCTGTGGCCAGAGAAACGGTGCTGCCTTATGCAGCTAGCAATGCGGCCTTAAAATTGCAGGCTCACAAACCCCCCACCCCCCCCACCACCCCCCCACCCCGATTATTACACCGCAAAAGTGGTAAATATAGGCAGTATTGGCAATATGGTGTTGGTTTTGCTGAGACGATAGTCTGTAGATGTATAAAAAATCCCCCCACCCTATGCAATGGTCAGTGATAAACATTCTGTGTGGTTTTCCTTGCCACAGCAACAGGGCAACTAGAGAATAAGCTGTTGCGTTGCACTAGTGACTCAACGGCATAGTCTATGAGAGAAACCCAAGACAGTTGTTTAGCAAGAGACAAACACACACGTGTGTATGTGTGTGAAATAATGATGTGCGTCCATCTCAAGAGATGATGGTTAGTTCTCCCATCCGCTAGTGGTAGAGTGGGAGTGCACCGATATGCACTACGGAAGTAAATCATGGTCAAGTCAGGTAATAGAACAAGTATGTGGAAACAGCTGAGATGTGACTACAAAAAGATGACGAGAACATAGTTACGGCGACCAGGTAAGGCGATGAAGAGGCCAAGCAAGAAACAAACTCACGAAGAGAGAACTGGTTGCTGGTGCCAGAATGAGACAGTCTACATTCTTTAGTCAGATGGTGAGCAGTGGGAAAGTGAAGTGCGGCGTGATAACGGGAAGGTTGAAGGAAGCCAGGATCAGAGGGGGGCCAGGAGAGAAGACTGCACAGTCTGGTATCAAAATACATCCGATGATTAAACGGGTACGAGACAGAAAACTGCATAGACACCACTACCAAAAACAACATGGCACTGGGACTACTGGTCCTAGCTAAAATCTTCTGAAAGAAGCTAAGACATAACGATCCTTTGTGACAAACATTAAAAAATAACAATCGTCATTTGTCAGCTGTCATGGAAACCGAACACGGGCCCCGTAGCACCAGCAACGATCCTCGTGGATCCCTCTTTAAAATTACACTCGTGAAACTAACGATGTAGTCGTGTAACGAATCCCAGTGAGCGCGGCAAACGGCTTGATCACAGGGAACGCCCCACCCCCCCCCCCCCTCCGTACTATGTTAGCGTGTACTTATGCGACTCTGCTGGGGCTAATAGATCTATAATTATGTCCCAATTCAAATAGGCCGAGTTCAAGCTTTCCTGTTAGACTTCAGAGTTCATCGCTGTGAGCCACTGATTGATCGCATTCAAGTACCAACTTAATCCCACTGAGAAACTATCCATTATCAGATTTCATTTGGTTCGCGACAGCAGCGTCTCGAGTTCGGTGCACGAACGCGGTAGTCTAGAGACGAGTGTATGTATGTTTATATATAGGGAAGCATACTTTTCATGCTAACTATGTATTGAGCATATGACGCTAGAACAATCGGCACTAGATTGTGGTCAAAATTATGCCGGCCACCTTCACTTTGCATGACTTTAACCGGTACCCATTTTAGGACAGGCTGACATAAGGGCGATGTCTTTTTTAAAAAAAATCTACGATTTCGATGAACGAAAACTCGAATAGGCAACGGCCCAAGTGTTTGCTGCATTTAGCCAAAAATATTGTGTAAACAACAGGATTGCCTGCTGTCGAGCTGACTCTGGGAATTAAATAAACATGGCATAAAATATAACTAGAAAGCGAAAAGTTGAGCACCCACACAGATAAAAATGCAAGTTTGACCAAAACCTTTATCTACGAACAAAACAAATGAATTCCAAAAGATAATATCACAAGGAGAGTTAATGCAGACGTTTCGCTTAACAGTTTTACGTCATTTCTTGACTCTTGAAGTCTTTGCATTAAATTAGTTTTGCATGTGACAAGTAAACAACAGTCTAAAAAAAAATCGACAGTTAAAATATCTTCTTCTTCTTCTTCGCGTTCACCAGCTGTACACTCTGGCGTAAAGTTCTGGTTGTTCGTCCACTTCTGGATTGCAGTCCTGCTCCAGATCCTGAGTTTTGCGTGTGCATCAGTTTTACAGATCTGATTCAATTGAATGTAGACTGCTGGTTCCTTGCCTCTCAGGCAGATGCACTCCGACTTCAAAGGAAGCTCCCCAGGTAGTCGACTCTTACGACATGCTTTTGGGGAGGCAGTGGGTCTATTCTTGTTTTCCCCACAATAGGGCCCCGGAACCCACACGGGGAAGTTAAAATATAATACGGCAGTTGGAGTCAAATACGGTGGTTCAAATCAAATAAGATGTCCCGTGTGTGGGTTCTGGGGCCCCATTGTAGGAAAAACAAGAATAGACCATCTGCCTCCCCAACTAGCATGTCTAATAGTCGACTGACTGGGAGCTTCCTTTGAAGTCGGAGTGCATCTGCCTGAGAGGCAGGGAACCAACAATATGCATATAAAAAAGTTAGATCTGTAAAACAGATGTGCACGCAACACTCAGGTTCTGGAACAAAAGACTAATTTAACATTTTCCGCTGGAGTTTACAGCCGGTGAACGCGAAGAAGAAGAAATATGGTGTATTCGTCTGTTAGATCTCATTAAAGCAGGCTTTAAAACTGGGGAGTAACTCAAAGATCAGATATGAAATGACAATCCTCCGTTGGTACAAGATGAAAAAGACGTCAGTAATTTAGTTGAAAACCAGGATGTATAGAATTAATAGATACAGTAAATATTTACAGCAAACATCTATGCTTAAGAGATAATAATAATACATACGCTGTCCCCTACCAGGCATGTTAAAGGCGACCACTAAGTGGAGTGTTTATTTTCAAGTCGGAGTGGATCTGTCTAAGAGGTGAGGTAAGAGAAGTGTGAATACAAAGCTGTCAAACGGATGTGCATGCAAGACTCAAGTTCTGGGCCAAGACCAAAGTTCACCAAGTTCAAGACATGCCACCGTGTAAAAATACATGCAGATGGCACACTTCTTAAACAAATGAATCAGTACAAGTATTTTTTTAACGGTTATAACATCTAATGTGAGATGACTTGCAGAAATTAGAACAAGAATAGCGCCGGGAAAAGTGGCCTTTAGCAAGATGCAAAAGATACGCATCAAAAAGTCGACAACACTGAGAACAATAGTGCCAAGGTGCTGTATAGAACTTGTGTTACTGTATGCACGAGAGACAGGGGCAATAAGCAGACAAGCTGGCAGCGATATGTGGCGATTGAGAACAATGCAAAAAATATAATGAAATGATAGAAAAACAAACGAAACGGTTCTCTTCGAGGCGGATGAAAGTCGTAAACTCACTAGAAAAACCACCTAGGCATTTGGGGGTTTCCCGGATGTTATAAATAGGAATGGATTCAAAAACTTTTAACAGTTAGCACGATTGATGGAAAGAGCAAAAGGAAGGCAAAGAGATAAATAACTGGATTGCTTAGCCATCTTGTTGGCAGGAGACACGACCACTGACATGATCCGTGTGAGATTGTGAAACTTGACAGACTACGCGTAAGGCACGACACATGTTGATGTCAATAAGGTGTGTTCAAGAAAGGACACAGTAAGCGTTTGTCAGAAGAAACATTTCGAAATGGCGCAGAAAGAGACATGCAGAAATATTAAATTTAGAGGGCAGTGGCAGCGGCAGCGCAAATCACGGTCTGAAGAGAATGGTCTTGCGAGATCTTGCCAACGCTCGACGCTCATAGAAACGGCGAGACGGTTATACAATGAGCCTGTTACTGGTACTTTTGGAATTGGAACTCTGCTTTGGCTGCTGAAGATGGGGACGGCGCGCTGATGGAAATATTCCGAGTGCGTGATATCGATTCATAATTCAACATTTGACAGCGCAATATTCTATCAATCAGGTGCCGTCTCTACAATGAGGGTTGGCTGCAATGGATCCCCAAAACTCTGTCTCTTGTCTTTGTAGTACACGGTCACGGACGCCTGTTCGTCCATCTCTTGACTTGTATCTTTGTCTACCTCTTGATCTCTGACCTTCGACTTTTCCCTCCAGTACTGTTTTTTTGTTGTTGTTCATAGAAATTTTTCAATTGTGTCTTTTTTTCAGATTTATTTTAATAACTCTTTTTTTTTTTTAATTCCCAGCAACTCCAGAACCTCTGTAAAATTTCGTTAGACAGCAGACGATTTGTTAAGGCCACCGAATTCGACTGTCAACACAAAGTATATACGGCAGCGAGCAATGATATTTTCATACACGGAGACTAAAAAATGTGGAGAAAGGGAAACATTTAAGTCCCTGGAAAAACTCTGTAAACGAAACACAAACCTACTCTCCTGTGTATAATTCACCTTGATACCGCAAGGCACGAGAGAAACAGAATAAGCTAAAAAGAAAATTTCTACGAAATAAAAGATAATTGCTACATCTTTCTTTGAAATAAATAATAACCACCACAGCAGAAAATCTAAAAATACCCTCAGATAAATACAGCGCAGACGACGCGGATATACTATAAGAAAGAAAATAAGACAATTAGCAACAGAACATCAAGAGATCGATCGTAGAAACAACGCTCACATATTGACATTCCCTAGAGGCGCCGACTTACAGAAATTATTCCGGGAAAAAAGGTGGGGTTGGGGAGAGAGTAAAATCGGATTTAACCCTTTACAGATTTTTTGAGTAGTTGCAGTGTCAGTGTGGGGCCTAAAAGACCTAAGTAGTGTTTGTGTAAGAGCTGAATAATAATAATAATAATAATAATAATAATAATAATAATAATAATAATAATAATA